CGGCGACGCGAACGGCGAGATCCAGCGGCACGCGGAGCAGCAGGCGCTGCGCCTCGAGGTGCGCGCCGGCCCGGACGCGGCGGGCATCGCCCTCTACAGCCGTGAGTGCGGGGCCCCGGGGCTGGGCCGCGCGCCGGGGCTGCCCACGAGGCCGGCCGGGCGGGGGACCGGGGCGGGAGGGACGCGGCGAGGGGCCCGGGGCCCCGGGGGTGAGGGGCCCTGAACCGTGGGGGCCTGGTGTGAGGTCCGTGGCGCCGGGCCGAGGGAGATGGCAGTGGGGGTCCCCGAGTCAGGCGAGAGGAGGTACGATGTCAAGGGGCAGAGAGAAAAGAGGGCGTGCGTGGTGGCCAGAGGTGAGGTGCCCGGAGTACGGTGGGAAGCGGGAAATGGGGGAGTGAGGGCCCTGAGATTGGGAGGGGGTGGGCAGGAAGCGGGGGGCCGAGCGGGGAAGGTGAATTCGTAGCATGCTGGGGGTGTGGGGGCTGGGTGGGAGGAAAGGGGGCCTGGGGTGTGGGAGAGGTGGGAGTCCCCGGGGGCGGGTGTGGCCGCCCTAGGGGAAGGAGGGAGGGGTGTGGGCAGCCTTTGGACATCTCTCGGGACTCCCTGGACTGCTAAGGACAGTTGGAAAGCGGTGCCCGGCCTGGGGCGGCCTGGAGGACCCGGTTCCACCCATCGGGAGCCTTTTGGCTTTCTGGACCCCCGTGTGGGAAACTTCTAGACCTGGGGAGAGGGCCCATGCCGGGGTGGTGCGAGCCGCTGATGTGCTCTTGGTGGAAACGTGGAAGGGTAGGGCCCCTTCTTGATGTCCGGCTCCGAAGTAAGAGGTAACACAGCCTCCTCCCTCGTCGCGGTCCTCGGGTCTTTCTTTTTGGGGATGTGAGAAGCTGGTAACATTTTCAGAAGCTAGTTTCAAAAACTGACATTTCAGTGGAAAAAAAAAAATCACAAATGTGTTTGCCAAGGCCCCTGAGTCTTTGTGGTTCATCCTTTGTATTTCTGTTACTCTTTTTTATCTGTTCTCTTTGATTCCTGATTGCTTGTTCACATTTTGCTATTCTGTTTCATTCAGCTTTGTCTCGGGTTTTCTCGTTCTGATGCTCAGGGAGCCACTTACGAGGCCTCTCCTGGCTTTTGGCCTGTGTGAATTTTTTGCCACTTTGGGAAGGGGGTGATCCAGAGGAAAGCGCATAGAGCAGGTGGTTCACACAGGGTTCTTCCTGCACCTCTACCCGGAAAACCCAAACTTATGCCTACCTCCCAAGTGTCACACCTCTTTTTTGCTGGGGCAGAGCTGGGTTTTCTGGGACCAGCTGAGAGGAGAGGGGAGAAAGGTATCCCCGGCGGGCATCAGAGCTCAGGACAGGTGCTTATACTCTCCACCTTAAACTCAGCAGGATCCCCCAGATCATGAGCATGATCGTTCATTTGGCGGGTATTAATAAAGAATAAAGATGAGCAGAGGTACCTGGGTGGCTCAGTCGGTTAAGCGTCTGACTTCAGCTCAGGTCATGATCTCACGGTTCGTGGGTTCGAGCCCTGCACAGGGCTCGCTGCTATTAGCGGGGAGCCTGCTTCGCATCCTCTGTCTGGCCCGCTCTCGGCCCCTCCTCCTCTCAGGCGCCTGGTCCCCCCCCCCTCAAAAATAAATACAACATGTTTTAACAAAGGGGTAAAAAAAAATAAAGATGAGCAGCATTTCTCAAACTAGGATCCTAAGGCTACTCCTCAAGCAGTTCCAGGCGAGTTGGGTTTTTCTTTTGTAAATAACGTCTTTTGATTTTTGAACAGCTTTTGATTTATAGAATTATTGGGAACATACTACAGAGGGTCCTCGTATACTCCACACGTGGTGTCTCCTAAGCTCAGCACCTTCCTCCAGGAGGGTTTTTACATTTTATGTTTTTGTTGTGTGGGTGATCTTGACGTTGTTACTGGTTGTAAAGATAACATCCTCTTTTAGGGGTAATTCCTCACGGAAGCATTTGTAAAGAGGAGAAAGTCCACGTTTCTCAGATTGAGATCCTCAGTCGGGGATGATCCAGTCTCGCGGGGTCTGAGACAACTTTTTCCTCATTATGTTTAAGTCACATTGATGTGGGGCTGAGAACATGGATTCTGGAGTCAGCCGAACCGGGTCGTGTTAATTCCTCAGGGCTGCCATGACCAACTTTCTTTTTTTCCCCTAAGTTTATTTATTTATTTTGAGAGAGAGAGAAAGAGCGCATGCATAAGTGGGGGAGGGACAGAGAGAATCCCAAGCAGAGTCAGCGTGGAGCCCGATGCGGGGCTCTAGCCCACGAACCTCGAACCATGACCTGAGCCGAAGTCAGACGCTTAACTAACTGAGCCACCCCGGTGCCCCTGCCGTGACCAACTTGGTGGCTTAAAACAAAAGGAACATGTTCTTGTACAGTTCACGGCCAGAGGTGTGAAATGAAGGTGTTGGTAGGGCCACACTCCTTCCAGAGGCCCTGGAGGAGGATTTCTTCTTACCCCTAACAGCTTCCTCTGGGGCCAGGCCTTGCTTGGCTTGTGTCAATAGAACTCCAGGCTCTGCGTCTGTCTTCACATGGCCTCACCCCTGTGTCTCTGTGTCTTTTCCTATAAGGACACCTGTCATTGGATTTAAGGCTCACCCTATACCCAGAATGATTTTACTTTAATTACATCTGCAAAGACCCTTTCTCCCAGATATGCCACATTCTCAGGTCAGGGAGTTAGGGCTTGGACATATTATTTTAGGGTCTACTACGAGGACTAGATTGGTGCCCTGCCGGTGTGGGTGAGTCTCTGTACCTCGGTTTCCTTATCGGTAGAATGGGGGCAGTGGCGGGCCTTTGTGGCACATAGTGTGTTTGCTCCGTAAACTAGCACTTCTGTGGTGGTAGCACCTGCTCCCATCACAGGCTGGGGCCAGCGATGACCTCAGAGTTGGCTGGGTTACTGCTCTGGGTGAGGCAGCACTGGTTCCTGAGCAGGCGTGGAGAGCGGGGTCCACGGGGAGGGATTGCCCTGGAGTGTGCCGGCCAGGTGCAGAGTGCCAGGCTGAGGTGTGGGGGCTGTGCTCCGCCTCTGGATCTGAGAGCCGGCCCGGCCTGCCGGGTGGAGCCCAGCCGCCAGCGTCCTGGAGAAAGTCAGAGATGGTCCAGCTGTTGCATGTGCGGGGATGTGGCGGCTCCGGGGACCTGGGGCCCACTAGGACTTTTAGATCTTTTCTTGGGTTGAACTTGCTTTCCTGGCCTCAGCATTTTCCAATCTGGGCCCTTCTGGGACCTGATTGCTTTGGCCAGTTGAGAAGGTATCCGGAGCCCTGTTCTGCTCACCTGTCCTTCATGAGGCAGGGTCCTGCCAGCTGTGTGTGATTCCAGACCCCCCGTCCCCGCTCCGGGATTCAAATCTGTGTGCGGTACGGACAGGGAGGTCGGCCAAGACCCGAATCTCCCCTTGTGTCCCGTGGGAGGCGAGCCAGAGGTGTGTTTGGGTGCTGGCGGGGGTTCTGAACGTGGAGTCTCACTCGTGTGGGTCACCAGCTGTGCGGCCTTAAGCCATTTCACCTCCTCTGAGCTTGTTGCCTCACCTCTAGCAGCACTTACCTGGACACAGCCTCAGTTTCCTCTTCTGCAATGGGAATAATACCACTTGGGGCCTGGAAATGGGGGTGAAGTGGACCATGGGGATGTGGAACTAAATGTTTCAGTAGATGTTATTTTAAAGTTTTTTAACGTTTATTTTTGAGAGAGAGCGAGAGAGTGAGCGAGCATGAGCACACAGGCAGGGGAGGGGCAGAGAGAGAGAGGGAGACACAGAATCTGAAGCAGGCTCCAAGCTCCAAGCTGTTGGCACAGAGCCCATTGTGGGGCTCGAACTCACGAACTGTGAGATCACGACCTGGGCTGAAGTCAAACGCTTAACCAACAGAGCCACCCAGGTGCCCCAATATTTCTGTAGATATTGTTGATGGTGTTGTTACTGGCATGGAGGCATGAAGATCTGGGTTTTCTAGGAGGGAGCCCCTTACGCTGCAGGGCTGTCCAGCTGTCTCGCTCCGCCAGCAGGTGGGGGAGGGACCCTTGGGCCGCGACTTCTGCCCCAGGCAGTGGGGCTGGGAGATGGGTGTGGGTAGCGGACACACAGCCCTGTCCCTTGACGTCTGCGCCCTCCCCGGGGAGAAAGATGGCAGCCGCAGAAGGCCCTGCAGGCCCCAGTGGCCCTGCCGTGAACGACCACCCTCCCACCGCTTCTTGCCATCCGAAGTCACCCTGGCCCGTATCCATGGCATTGGCTACCAAATGGCAGCTACCAAAACCAGGCCGTCTTCCCTGGGCAGAGGTGCAGACTTCCCGGGCCTTGAGGAAGCTTTGGCACAGCCTCTGGAGTTCTTGGATGCAGGGAGCCCTCCCTTTGAAAGGAGGCAGCCTCTCGGGAAGCCTGTGGTGGGGCAGCCAAAGTGGGGAGCAGAACAGATTCTCGGTTCCTCGGGCCCACGGTGTCCTTTCTGGAGATGACTGTGTCACTTTTCTTTCTTGGTCAGCGCGAGTCACTTTGCCCGGTTCTGTGGACTCTCCCCGCCCCCTGGCTCTGACAGGGGTTAAACTTCAGTTTGGGGGGGGGGGCACGCCAGGGTGCGGAAACCCCAGAGAAAAACCCTTTGTAGAAGCAAGGTGAAGAACGGCCAGCTGCCGCAGAATCAGGAGCTCTTCTGATTTCCTCCAGTCACGGTTCTGGGAGCCCCCTGGCGGCTGGGGGAGGGGCAGAGGGTACAGAAGAGTTTGTCACGTGCCCAGGCTTTAGGGCATTCAGAGTCAAGCTGGGGCGACAACCCAGAAGGTTAGTAACACCGGAAGGGCATTCACATTGCGGTGGTGCCCATAAGTTGCTGCTGCCCGGTGTCATTTTTATTGAGCATTTACTGTGTACCAGGCTCTGCATAAAATGTTTGACCTTGAGAGCAACTGGGGAAAGGATAATAATATGCATTAGGGTCTGTGAGCCAGATAGGGCCTGTCGCCTTTTTTCAAACAGCTTTGTACATCTTTGGAAGTTTTATTAGAAAAACCCAACAGCTGAAGGAAGAATATTTAACTGATGCTCGTGTGTCTTG